TGGTTGGTTGGATGATTGGTTGGTTGTTTGGTTGGTTGGATGGTTGGCTGGTTGGTTCGTTAGTTGGTTGGATGATTGGTTGGTTGGTTGGATGATTGGTTGGTTGGATGATTGGTTGGTTGGATGATCTTCAACATTATCAACAGCAACAACACTAACAACATCTTCAAAATCATCATCAACAACACCAACAACAACAACAACATTAACAACAACAACGACAACACCAACAACATCTTCAATATCATCAACATCAACAACAACATCTTCAACATTATCAACAGCAACAACACCAACAACATCTTCAACATCATCATCAGCAACACCAACAACAACAACATCTTCAACATCATCAACAACAACAACATAGATCTTCAATATCACAACAACAACATTTTCATCATCATCTACAACAACAAAAACAACACCACCACCAACGACAACAAACCTTGGCCCCAACGAGCAAACTAAGAGCCAAAATAACCCTTCCCTTAACCGACGGTCGACCCTTCGGCCAGATGTGTTCAAAAATAGTTTTTAGCATAATTTTATTATTTGTGATCTTTATTTTAGTTGGATCATTCTCCATCGAAATGTGGTGAACATGGCCTGAGTGAGATCGCGATAGGGGTTTGAAAAATTGGGGTAAAATTTTTGGTGGCGTTGATGATGATGATGATGATGATGTGCTGGGGTTGTTAGTGCAGTTAGGGGTGTTGTTATTGGTGTTGGTGTGTTTAGAGGCGATGGAAAATGTAAACTTTGATGATGGCGGTGGTGGTTGTTTCGGCGGTGGTGGTCCATTATGAAAGTGATGTGCTGGGGTTGTTGTGTCATTCTTGGGGTTAGGGCCAGATGTCTTTGAGACGTTCTGTTTTCGTGAAATCTGTCGTTTTAAAATTATTATTTTCAAATAGATATAGAAGGAAGATAAATATTAAATAATATTAAAATTTTCTAAATTACAAACAAATATAATTATTAATAAATTAATCATAACAGCTGGCATAGATAAATAAATAAAAAATAGACACAAATAGAAATCAAATTAACTTTTAAACATCTGTAAAAAGATTTCATGTTTGGGGAATGTTGTAATTGAGTTGTAATAGAAAAATGACTCCATTTCCAACTTCTGTCGGTGAAACTGGTGTGTGGACATTTTGATGATGGCAGTAAAGTTGATGAAAGTGATGACTGACAGTTAGGGAACCTTCTGATTAAGAGTGAATTTTTTTTGCAGAAATTGCACAGATTCAATAGAAGTGTGGTAGACATGATTTGCAGGTAGGGTCTTTAATTTTTTGCTATATTATTTCAATCTTTCTCCTGAAATTTTTTATTTATTTATAATATATTATTTATTAAAATGAAACATCACATAAAATATATAATAATAATATATAATAATATATAATATGATTTATAATAATAATAATTAATGATGAAACATATTTTAAAATTAAACTTTCAACCTCAACAAACAAAATTTAACCCTATTCAACGATTTAATTGAAATTTTTTGATTCAAATATTCATCAAAAATAACAAAAAATTAAAAAAATAATATATCTCCAACTGCACTAATCCACCCACGATCAAGACAGCGGTTATTAGGTGAACTTAGTATGAAAATTCACCTAAACTAAAATTAAAACTTTTATAATTACAAATGCTTAAAAATAAAAATCCTGTGGAAGGCCATCGTAAAACTAGAAGTGAAATTTTTTACAGAATTTGAAATAAAATTCAGAAATTTGGTTGAAATTACGTCAGTAAAAATATTTTTATATAATAAAATGATAAAACATTTCAGAAGTTATTTTATTATTATAGTCATTATTAGTGCGGTTGAAGTTGACTAAAGTAGTTGAAATAAGCAAGACCACTTCTGAAAAGATCAAACTCAAAAAGTCACTTTAATTTTTTCTCATCTTCTTCGTCTTCTTCGTTCTCATCATCTTCTTAATTTTCTTCTTCTTCTTCTTCGTCTTCATCACCTTCATCTTCTTCGTCTTCATCATCTTCATCTTCGTCGTCTTCATCATCTTCAAAATCATCATCGTCTTCTTCGTCTTCATCATTTTCGTAATCACCTTCTTCGTTTTCATCATTTTCATAATCATCTTCATCTTCTTCGTCTTCATCATCATCTTAATCTTCTTCGTCTTCCCCCTCTTCTTAATCTTCTTCATCTTCGTAATCATCTTCATCTTCTTCGTCTTCATCATCTTCACAATCATCTTCATCATTTTCATAATCATCTTCATCTTCATCACCCTAATCATCATCGTCGTCGTCAACAAAACACTACAATTATAAATGAAACCGCCATAATCATCGTCACCACATTATCATCACTATCATCATAGCCATCAGATATACAAAAATCAGATATACCTTCTAGCTTCTCAAATAATTTTGTGTCAATTTTTAGTACTTCATCATCATAACCGTCATCACTCATTATCATCATCATTACCGACTTCACCGACAACCTGATTGACAATCTCGTCATCAACATCAGCAAGGTCTTCATCATCATCAGTTTTTAATTATAATTAAAACCAACAGCACAGTCATCTTAACAGACCTGGTGGGGTTGAATTTTTACAATTTTTTTGGGGAAATGTTCTCCGGGCAGACCAGCATTTTGACGAGGCGGGCAATTCTTCTGGTAAGTAATGACGACTATTACGAACTTTCAAAGTCCAAAGTTTAAAGAAATATAACAAAAATTAGATATACCTTCTAGCTTCTCAAATAATTTTGTGTCAATTTTTAGTATTTTAAACGGTGTTTTCGTGTTCAAAAAACTGTTCAAATGTATACAAATTAATTAGATATGAAAAATAAATAAATAAATAATATATGTTGGCTAAATTTTAATGCGGTTTTGACTTATTTTCTTGACCTTCTCTTTAAAAAATATACTGCAATTTAAAAATTCAACGTGCAAAACTAAAAGAAATAAATTATTCTTTGTTCGTATAAGAACGTCGAAATTAATAAATTCGGGTAAAAGTTCATTTCGCCGTCCAAATGTTAATTTCATTTGGCACAGGGCAGATGATAAACTCATGGAATTATATATTATGAATTATATAATTCAATGGATAAACTTGCCACAAACGAGTTTCAACAATTCGATTTTGCCTTTAAAATGTTCCACTCTAAATTTTCTGAGTGTTTCTAAAAATTTAACGAAATATTTGAATATCGACCGTTTTGAATGGCCAATCCCATGGATTTCAATGAACCTCGACGACTGACGTGTTTGTGATCGTTGAAATTAAAATTAAAATTCTTGCCCGTCAATAGCTTTATTACTTGAAATTATTCGTTAAATAATTTTAATTTAGACAACTTTTGGAGAAATCTTCTTTATCTTCAGTTTAAATTAATTTCTCATAAAATTTTTCAACAGTATTTTGTTGGATTTTCTGTCCTATTGTTTCACTTCGTTACGTTATTAATTATCATACGCACTGTTGCGGTTGGGTTTGATGATGGATGAACACTGAACCAGAAGAGCAGTGAGCGGGAAAAGAAAAGAATTGTATTCGTTTGGATAGGCTGGACACGTGTTTCGCCCCTACCGGGGACTCATCAGCAGCCCGAATACCTATCAGAATAGTTATCGCAGTTTGTTATAAAGCCCGCACAAATCAACTCCTTGTTTCGTGGTGTTTTATTTATTAGTCTTTTTAATCGCTAGGATTTTTAATCCGACAGCACCATGGCACAAATTACGTAAAAAACATAAAATAACATAATTTAGTTTAAAACGGTTTAGTAGAGATCTGTATGAGAATCACTATAACAATAATAATAATAATAATAATGGATCAATAGTTAAAGGCGCCTGGGTTCGAATACAAAGAGATCCCTGCCTCTCATATGCAATGTGTGGTTTGCACGCGTATCCATATGCGCTGTGTGTGTTTGTCGTTGAAACCTCTGAAGCAAGTGCAAAAGAGAGAAAGAGAGAGAAACCTTTAACCTTTATTGAAATAATAATAATAATAAATCAAAATTTAGACAACTTTGACGTACTGGAGGGGGGGACTAAAGTTTCCACTGGATGGAGAAACGAATTCTGAAAATACTTGGAAACCGTTATTTTAGGTTATTTTTAGGTTATCACACAATTTTATGTCAAATTTAAGTATTTGAAAGGGCGTTTTCAAAGCTGTTTAAATTTATAGGAAGCCGTTTAAGTTTATAGAAAGTTGTTTAAATTTATAAAAAGCCATCTAACAATGAATTCCCAAATATATTTTCAAATAATTACTACAAAAGGAGGTTGCTGACTGAGGCCAAAATAACGGAGTTGGTCGTGGCTGTTCTCCTTAAATCCGCCACTGATATGCCTTTAAAAAAGGTACTCTATTTGAGAATTCAAATTCAAAGTGAAACTCTGAGGAGAAAATTAAATTAGTCTTTCTTTGTGTTCAGCGCTAGAATATTTAATTTCCAGTTAAAGTCCATCTTCCATAGACTGAAAGCCAATGTTAATTTTTCTTAGACATGCAGTGACTGTTGGAATGGTGAAGATGGTGGAGATGGTCATTTAGAAACTATTAATTTATCAAAAATTAAAAAATTCAAATGAAAGAGAGTGAAAGAGAGAGAGAGAGAGAGAGAGAGAGAGAGGAAGAGAAAACCAACACAAACCTGTTAAACGAACGAATCTCTCTGGAGTACTAGCATGGAAAAAGTTTTTTAATAAAAGTCTGTAAGAGTACCGTTTTAACCGAAATATAAACTCTTCAAAAAACTCTGGCTTATGACCAAGTTGTTGTGTTGCTTCAACTGAAATATAAACATCATCGC